AAAAAAAAAGAAGTACGCACATAGTTTTTTCTCTTTTTTCTCCTTTTGTTTTTTCTTTCTTCCTCTCTTCGTTTTCAATAACATTGGGAGCAATAAGCCCAGTTTTTGTGGGACCGCATCGGATCACCACAAAAAACACCCCCATTTGGCCGGGATCGGGAATAATTGCGGAATCTCTCCCGTTCCCATCGGTGTTAACAGCCCAAAACTCAGAAGCTGTGAATGACTAGCGCTTGTAGTCTTCATCGTCCTTGAGGTCATCTGGTGTAAGAGCCTTCATGAACCCTTTCGTGCGCAGGCGTCGAGTTTGATTTGAGGAAGTATTCGATGGCTTCTCTTTCCTCTTGCCTGCAGGTCGAGTATTCTTCTCCGTGCTGCTTTTATTCTTCCGGTGCGTGCATGTTTCCTTTTTCTTCTTCGGCGAAGGGATACGAACACCCCGCAGGACCCCAGGGCCCTCCAGTCGCGTCTCCTTTGGAGGTGCTTCTTCGGGATGCAGACGCACAGGGTCACCGTACGGTGTGGAGACATTGAAGACGCTCAGTAGATCCTTCTCGGTAAAACACGAGAAAGGCATCAGAAGCTGCTCTTCAACGTTAGCGGCGAGAAGTAAATCATCCTCGGAGCCGCTCTCGTCAAACAAACTGTCACAGGCGTGAAGATCCTCTACGGAGTCGTCCCCTTTACCTCCGTTCATGTGGTTATCAGAGACATTTTCCATGGCTCTGACCCCGCCTGGGGTTCCTTTTTGGAGTTATTGTGGGTCCCAATCCGCTTTCCGTTTTACTTCCTCTACCTACCCACCCCAGTTTGCGTTTCCGGACTGCGCGGGTCGACGTTTGATTGTTTGTTTTCCCTTGCGATCTTCTTTTTTTTTTTTTTTTTCGTTTTTTATCGCTGAGTTCTTCTGAGAAAACTTCCAAGCACCTCGTTTTTTTTTATTTTTATTTTAATTTTTATTCTTATATATGTATATGTATGTATATATATACACACTTTCTTGTATGTATGTACTTTTCTATTGATACCAATAAATATTGCTAACCCTTCGGATTGGGGAATCGGCCGGTCTACACCATTGGGAGCGTTCTTTCGTCGTTTACGGTCTTGCTTTGCTGACGGTGCGGTTGCCCTGTGGCAAAGTACAAGCAGCAACAACAACTACACACGGCATATACATATACAAGAAAAAAAAAAAAAAAAGAAAAAGATAAAAAGAAATGTATACCACGCCAACTGCACCAACAAATCTACAAGCAGGGTTGAATGTGCATTTATATAAACATCACGCACGGAAAACAGAGCTGGGGCCAAAGAGAGAAAGAGGGAGAGAAAACGAAGTTACATGCAAACATGGACTCACATTCGTGAATCACCAGGCATCACTCTGCGATTTGGGCGGGCAGCTAAAACTCGCAGCAAAGACGTGGCGTCCATTTCGTTTCGGATGCCCATTTGTTGCACCTCGTGCAGCGAAAGACCGGAGCGCAGCACCTCACCGTCAATGGCACCCTCCATGAGCACGTGGCGATAGTCCACCTGAAGGCCAAGCAACTCAAACCATGTACAGACCGCCTCCACGCCACGCATAATCTCCTTTTCGCAAGAAAAGGGACACGCTGTATTTAAAAGAACATCAATGACGCTCCGCAAATCACGCACGCGTCCTTCGTCTGTGTCAACAGACACGTGGCGGCGCAAAGTCTCCAAAAGAACGCACAGATCGTCGTGGTACAGACGATCGCCGCGGATCAAACCGTCACGAATGCTGCTCGTTAACCCCCCAAAAAGCTCGGGGGTGAAAATTTCACGCCCTGCCGCAACAAGCGTGCGAAGATAGGCGTCCGTAAACAATTCTCTGTTTCTTTCAAGCAACACGGCGTCGGCCCCAAGCAAAACAATCATTTCCACGGCCCGCTGCTGCACGCACGAAAGTGTCCACGGACGGGCTCCTTCGGTGCCCACTTCACTGAGATTCCCCACGGCCCACAAAATAAACGGATGCGAGCGGCAACCCTCAACAGAACCCCATATATCTACATGCCTCCAATAACAACGGTACTGAAGAAGAACCTCCACCACAAGCCACGACAAGACCTCTACTTTCTGACAATGTACAGCACCCCCATTGCCCAAAAATATATCAGACGCCAATATTCTCTCCGCAGCCTTGCTGTCACGAAGCACCTCACTTCTCCACTTTCCCGGGAATTCATGACCGCCGCCGGGGGGCTCCAAATACAGCGCCTTGAAAGAAATCCAAAGGAGAAGGCGCAGTTTCAGCGCACTTTCTGTTTGTTCCACGCATTTCACATCCGATCCGCACATGCCATCAAGTGTCCGTAGCAAATACAGCAAAATCGACTGATGGACCACATCCAAATGACTCCCGTGTGCCACTGCAGCGTCGTCTGTCCTCCCGCGCCACAACAGCAGCACAGTGGGTATCGCAGACGCGGCAAATTCCTCCATACATGCACATTTACCCTCCAGTAACTCAGTCATGTGCGTGATCTTCTCAAACAACGCAAATAAAAAATGTCCGCGTGTATATAAGTAAATTTCTTTGCATGTAAAGATGTATATGTATACATACGTTTATATGCATCGACCAATCTCTTTATTTATCAAACGCTTCTTTGAATTGCCTGCCCAACAGGCAACAAAAACATCAAGCAAAAAAAAAAAAAAATAATAATAATAATAAAATTGAGCGGAAAAAACCCACCAAAAGAGAAGGAGAGGAGAAGAAAAATAAATAAATAAATAAAACAAACTTAAACAATACGAAAAAAAAAAAAAAAAAAAAAAAAAAACACTACATAAGTGCTCAAAATAAATCGGCACCATCGATAGTAAAAAAAAAAGAAAAGAGACTTAATAGAAAGAAACATGATGTATGGACACGGATGGATACGATGTGTATTACTACAAATTAACCCTGTCCATGCAAACACACACATGACTCCATCAATGTATTTATTTATGTTTTTTTTTTTTTCTTTCGGTCTTCGTCCACCCCCTCCCCCACGTTCCCCCGCAGGCACTCTGCGCCTTAAATCTTTTCTCTTGAATACGACGGGGCTGACAGCCCGTTCATCTTGGAATGGGTGTAAAACAACAACCCTACAAGAGTTAACGCGACCCCACTAAAAGTTTTTGCATTCATCTCCGATGAGAGAAACATAAAGCCACCAACAAAGACCAACGCCGTCTTGAAGTACCCCACAACGTTCATAGTAAGAGGGGAGGTCCGGCCCACAAACAAGAAAAACGAAAAATTCACACCAAATGCAAGTAGACATGAAAGTGCAATCGCCCAAACTGCCTTGAATGTCATTTCAAAAGAAACCAGTTCCCCTAAACCATCAATGGGAACAGCAAAAACCAGCAGCAAGGCACTAAGCGGAGCCTGATACATCAACAATTGCATGGATGTCACCTCCAGTTCCAGCTGTTTTGTCTTTCCCCAGACTGTATATAAGGAGTTGGAAAGAATTGCCAGAAGCGCCCAGAGAGTTCCCATGAGATTCAGGCTGGCGTCAGAATACACCGTGAGTGCGGCCCCCACGCATATGGGTATTAGAGATAACAATGTCCGTCGGTTCTCACGCCGGTGATAAAGCGTGTACTCGATCCACACAATGAGAGGTGTGCAGGCAATCTTTGAGGTTTGATACACGCTCACTGTGTTCGTAAGGAGCGAGAGATTGTTGAATACCACATACCCGCAAAATGCCAGACTAATGGGAATTACCTTCAGTATTGGGATGCTATTAACCTCAAAGAACTTCAGCCAAGCAAACAACAGGCATCCCAAGAAAGTGACGATAAAGTGAATAACCGTAAGGACAATTCCAAACCGAAAACCAGCCTCCATGTACACAAGACGCTTGTTTATAATAACTACACCAACACTGCTGACGATGTTTAATAAAAGACTGCCGTATACGGTCACAGCAGGTGACAACCCGGACTTATTTCTTTCCTTATTCATTTTTTCCTACCGCTCTTCTCAGTATTTTAAGAAAAAAAAAAACACAACTTATCATCGATGGAAGTAGAGAGTCATGATAATAATAAAGCAATAATAAAAACAAGTAATTGCATGCACTTGGAAACCAAAAAAACAAAAATAAAAACAAAACATTAATAAATGTCGGATGACAGGAAAATGCAGGTAGAAAGAAGGCAAAAAGACATAATACAATTAAACCGTTGGAAGCGGAGTTTTTGTCTACGCGTCCCTCCGTGTTTTTATTACTTCTCTATACCTTCCGCGGAAGTGTAACAAACGTGTAGAAGAAGATGCTGGTTAGCAAAGGAACAAACTACTCGGAAGACATGGATCGGCTGATGTACGCCTTTTCTTCCATGATTCGCTCCTTCCAACGTCCCCGTTCCTTTTCTACGGATTGATCCAATTCACGAAGTTTGCGCGCCAGTGTGAAGTTCTTCTCCTTGCACGCTGCTAACTCGGACATCGCTTCCTCGACTGTTGTTCGCATCTGCGCAAGAGCATCCTGACGCTGCCGGATGAGCTGCTTGAAATGGAGTTCGTTTTTCATAAACGCCTCAACAATCGCACTTGGATTGTTAAGCAGTGATCGCTCTGGTACAGGATCCGCACCGCTGGGAGGCGAGGACGGCACCTTTTGGGAGGGCAGCAAAGGCTCCATCACTGCCCCCTTTGTTGCCGTTGCCATTGAGTTCTCATTTACACGCTTCATGCCCTGCTCGGCAGACCGGCTGCGCTGAGACACCGGGCTTGGGGCCGAGGCGCCAACACCGTACATGTTCTGCAGTCTATCACCGTAATCTAACGCACCGGACGTAAACGTCACAGATGTCTCCCTTGGAACCGCAGAGGGCTGAAGTGTCATGGATGCGGTTGACATCCCACCCGATTCTCTTCCAATGCCTCTGCTCCCTTCCTCCTGTTCCCTCGCAAGGGACTCTGTCGTCTCGCGCAAGTAATTGAACGGAACAAATCCGCGTCGCCTCGGGTCATGAAGAACCTCCACTTTGATCCATCCTTCCCGCACCTCGCTCTCCGCCGTGAAAACAGTTTCGCCCTTCTTGACGGTAAGCTCCACACCGTCCTGTGCGTCAAAATTGTGCAGTACTCTAAAGTAACGCATTGAAAATCAGTTTCACAAACGCCCCCTCCCGGTCTCAGTACTCCCCTTTCGCAGAGCCGCCAGAAAAAAACAACATAAGTACAGAAGTAAAAAAAAAAAACAAAAACAAAGACAACAACAAATCCCAGAACACAAGATGTTATCATGTCAACAACAGCAAGCCACAGCCAATTCCCGACAGACAGACAGAGAGATAGGTACACGGAAAAGTACCTACATGAGTGAAAGAGGAAGAGGGCGTACTCAATGAGCGTGCGCCGAAAAACAACTAAAAGGACAACGCAGCCCCAGTGAGTATACGCAAAAAGCAAGAGTAAAAAAGATCGAAATAAACATGCAGGAAAAAGAGGGAACCAAAACATTTTTATCACGCAAAAACATAAGATGCGTGTCGCACGGCAACAACAACAAAATCGGCTAAGAAAGAAATAAAAATAAATATTACTCCTTCCATTCCGTAGCCACCACCAAAATCAGCAACAACAACAAACAAACAAACAAACAAACAAAAAATAAACCACCAGGTGTATGAATCGAGAGAAAATTATCATACCTCCAATTACCGTCAACACCGTCATCATTGTGGAAAAATAACAACAACAACAACAAAAGACTATGTTCTAACCATATACGCAACTATAAGGTGTGTCTCCTTTTTCTTGTTGTTGTTGCTATTCTTCTCTCAACTACTAAAGATTTGGGCAGGCATCATAGCCACCGTAACGTGAGCGTACTTTTACAGCCCGATTCTTTTCGTCTACACCACGTTTTGCAAGGATTTTTTCTTTTTTTTCCTTCTGGTAAACTTCCCAAAGATGGCACCGTTTGTCAAGTACATGAAGGTGGACGGCGGCGTTTTTAACAGCCGGGTCCGCCCAACAACGAAATTCCATCATCCGCAAAGAGTTGGAGGGGCCGCATGACTTCGAGAGGGGTTTTTGTCCCGCTGCTTGAGATGCATGGATCGGAGGCAAGACAAGTTTTGGCATAGAAGTCGCCTTCCACGTTTCGCAGTTGGAACAACAAAAAGCCCCATCCCCCGAATCCGTCGGCGCTGCCTCAGATTTCGCGGCTTTTTTCTTTTTCTTCTTCTGCAAATCCTCTAATTCGTCACGGTTCCTCTCTTCAAGAATTTTCCGGAAGCTGTCGAGGACTTTGAAGCCCACCGTGTACGGCAACTCCACCACTTTGAGGGACGGGCTTTGCTTCAACGCGGCAAGAATATTTGAGCAGTTTTTTGGCTGGAGGCCTGTTCCAATTAACAGAAGGGTCCGCAATGACGGCAGTGTTCGAATGACCCGTGAAAGATCCGCTGCAGCCGCGCTAGTGATTTCGGGGTTTTTTGACAAATCGAGGTGCCTCAACACTTTCTTTACGCAGAGGGCGTTGGCAATATGCGTAAAATCCACGTCACGAAATTGGCATGAAGAGAGAGACAAGTGCTCAATAGGGGTAGATCCCTTCAAAATAGCGGCCAGAATGCCAATTGCGTCGTCGTTTAGACGATTGTTGTCAAAAACAAGCTTACAGTAGTTGTCATTGCCCTGTAATGCGTCACGGAGGGATGTGAGCACCTCATCATCTAGTTCGCCTGATGGGTTTTGACTAAAGTCAATGCTCCGTTCATCATTGTTGACGATCATTGAATACCAAACTACACGCAAAAGAATTGAGGCAGCAGTGCAAAAAAAAAAAAGAAAAAAAAAAAAAAAAAAAGAAAAAACAACATAACATGACAGCATCACTTATCATCGGTTACATGTATAAAAACAAACACACAAAAACACTGCCAGGGAAATTTGTACATTCTTCATATTACACGCATACGCACATATACATACAGACACCGATGGGTAACAACATGAAGTATATATGTGTAGAAAAAGTCACAGCAGCTGAAGCACGCAAGTAAAATGCACATACAAACAGCAAAAAAAAAGCTGCAAACATGGATGGAATAATAATAATAATGATAAACGTAGAAAAAAAAAAAAAAATAACAACAGCAATAAATAAAAGGAAAATCGAAAGGGTAACCAATCGCAGCACCCCTTTTTTGTACTTCTACTTGTCAGCCCAAAGCTGATCCTCTGATAGCAAAAATGTGTCGACACGCAGACACGCTAATCCAAAACATCATGTTCCCACTCATACACCACAAATACATAGACTCTGAGCAGCTTTCGCTTTTATTCATCACCCGCCTCTTCCTGAGAAAAAGACTCTTCCAAGTGAAGTTCTGCAAATGTTTCAAAGGTATCGCCTTCCAATTCAAGCTCTTCATGGCCATGCCCATTGCTGCAAACTAATTCCTTCCTGTCTATTTCTTCATTAAAATTTTTTTCCTTCCGTTTCGCATCACTAGCATCATATATAGAGTTTTCTATTCCGTTCTCAAGAACTAAATAATTGTCAGTGTTGGTAATCACCGTCGTATCAGAGGGTTGAGCTACTGTAGATTGCCGGCGTAGGAGAGTCAATGGCGGCTCCTCATTACTAAAGAGACGCCACAACGCATCCGCCTGCTGTTGAGTGATGATTTGTTCCTTCACAAATTGCAGGAGATGTTCATATTCTATGGGTACAGGACGGTTAGCATTTTCCTCAGGTAAACCAAATGCTGTCTTTCGCGTCAAAACAGAAGCACATTTGAAGGACTCCTGCATAAGTGATGCCACATTTTCTTCTTGAGGGACGTAGGAGCTTGAGGCGGCATCGGAGGGCGCACTGATAGGACGGAATGTTTGTTGATTGAATACACGGCTCCGAGCAAACTTTTGTTTCTTCCCCTGCCCAGGGGGTGATGGGGCGCCAAAACCCTTCTTTGCAGGTAATCCTGGAGCACTCAGCGTAGGCGGGGAGAGAATCGGCTGATCAGGCGCCGTCTCCGCTCTTCTCGGGCCCTCCTTGACTAGTCTATTCAAATCCCGCTCCTTTTTTTTGGCACTTTTTAATTCTATTTTCAACTGTTTGACCTGTTCCTCCCAGTTCTTCTCCTTTTCCCTCATTTTCGCCATTTGAACGTCGCGAGACTCCAACTCCTTTTGCAGCCGCTCCACCGTATTTTCTGTCACCCGCGCCTGACCGTTGCGAGGTGCCAAAGCATTTACAGTGGGTCGGCCACGTCCTTCATTTGAGAGTCGCCGTGGTGTTGATAGTTGTTTCAACTTGAGAAGCCGCGGGCTTTTAACATTCGGAGGATGAGCGCCTAAAAAATCGTGTGGAGGCGAAAAAGCAAGGTCGACTCCCGTCGAAGGTTCTTCAGATTTTCGCCTACCGTTTGCCCCTTCTAAAGGATCTAGCGGGGGAAGGTGACCCGTATGATGCTTCTGGGGGATATTTCGCAGAGGAAATGGGGAACGACCTCCACCAGCAGGAGGCTGCGCCGGCCGCGGCGATGCCTGTGGCCCCTGTAGCAACCGTTTAACATCCTCCAAGTTGAAGTTGCGAGGAAGGCAGTTCTTCTGACAGCCCCCTTCATCGACTAACTCCGCAGACTTCGAACCACTCTTAGGGGATGCGCCTTGCGGAAACAAATCACGTACTCTCGGCGAGATATTGTTCATACCGCCGTTTTGTTTTCTACTACTGGACCCGGAATCCACCGGAAGGGATTGGCCGCTGTGCTCGGTTCTTTTTGGTACTAAAGGGTTTGCTTCCGATGTGCTCATTGAGAAATTTGGCGGCAAGGAATTTGACTGAGAATTCTTGCTGGGGACAAGCTCCAAGGGTTTTCTGTGCCCAGAAATTATACTCAGTGCGGTAGCGTTATCACTTGTCATATCGACAGTCGAAGTGCCAGTGATTGTCCGGGTTGGCTGCTCACGAGGTTCTGGGGAATCGTCCCGTTGAATAAATCTACCGTGACCGTCTTCATAAGTGAACGTGTACTGCCGCCGAACCCCATCCTCCTTCATCACATTATTCTTCTTGCTAAGAGCGTGATGATCGATTCTACGTCGTCTAGTTTGTGCGATTTGCTCGTCCAGTGCCTCCTTTAGGGCTTGTTGCCTCAGTTGCTTCTCGCGAGCCTCCTTCAGCCGCTCTTCCGTAACCACAAGTGGCTTCGGATAAACAGTGTGGTCCGACATGGTTGAAGGGTGGGGCGGGCGGGCGATGAGAGCGTGTGTGAACGGTTCCCCCCCTCCTTCCCACCTTTCCTTCCTTCGCTGCCACCGTGCAAATAATTGAGCGTCAGGCACAGCCGAGGAAAAGAAGAAGAAAAAAGAGCAAAAAAAAAAAAAAAAAAAACGGAATAAAAAAAAAAAAAAAAAAGACGTGGAGAATAATATTTGCAGTAATATCACAGAAGCAACAAAAACAACAACAAAAAACAATGAATATACACCGCCCCCCCTCCCAATTCGGTGGGAGTTGCTTACATCTGACTGCTATGGGTGTAGGAAAGCAAAAAGATCAACTCGCACAAATACATATCTTGCACAAGGAGGAAGAAAAGATAACAGAAAAATCTAAAAAAAAAAAAAAAAAAGAGAAACAATAATAACAACAAAAACAAAAACGGCGGTAAAATAATTAAGTGAAACCAATAATAACGCGGGGTCCATTGCGACGGGATACGTACAGTTGAGAGAGGCGACAGCAGCACATTCACGGACGACGCACTGCAATATGCATCACTATATTTCGAACAGTAAAGGGAAATTATTTTTTTTTTTTTACAGGAACCGCCAGTGCGCGCTGCAAAAACAAATAAGAAAAGCAAAAGCAACAAGAACACCGCCCTCCAAAAGTAATAAAAAATTCTTGTTGTACGCACGAGACAACGCAGCGAAAAAATAATTGCGGGTTACCTTCTTAGCCATTGTTTCATCATGTCAGCATAGGCTTGATCTCGCTGGACAAAGGATGTTAAGAAGTACGTCCCACCTAAGTGTGTTTGTATAGCAATGGCGTTTTCCAGTACCTTGACAGTTCGCTGTTTTTGAATATCTCTAATTTCATCCCACTCCAAGCTAAAGTTTGCGCTTAAGAGACCGGCCTGGAAGCAAAGCCAGCGTGGGGTGATAAAAACAAAGCCTTGCTTTGGGATCGGGTTGCCATCGTCTACGAGGGCACAACTAAACGTTTCAATTATCTCCTCAGAAGAAAGGTTTGGAAAAGACTTTCGAAAAAGAACCTCCTTCTGCTGCTTAATGGCACCTGTTACACCCGACGCGTCAAGCACGGCGTTCCCAACAACTTTACCCACAGAAACAGGGGCCAACACAACAGCAGCGGCTCCCCGCACGGCCCCTTTTGCCACGTCAGTCAAACCCCATCCCTGCTGCTCTCCAGGTTGTTCAAGGGACGCCAACTCAACCGTGCCTTGAAACGCTGCCGCTGCCGTCGTTAAATTGCTATTCGGCCTTGTCAGTAGTTCTTCTTCTCGCAGCAGCTGTAGCTCATGCGCGTGCATTTGCTGCACCAATGCACGCAATTCTTCCTTTTTTATCTCTACAAAACCATTCCTTTCGTATGTGCTTTTTGTAATATTTACAATAGCCAACAGACGATCGCTAGTGTATCTTTTTGTTGGTGAGGCGCTCCGCGCTGGCGCTGGGCCAAAACCTCGCACTGTAACTTTGGCAATTTGTGGTGCATCTGGAACTGCAGTAATTTCGTGCATGACCTCTTGCGACTCCGAATCAACCAGAAGGGATTCCTGAATCAGGAGTGAAGGTGTCATTTTTTCTCCACGAGTTACTAAAATATAAAGAGTATAAAACGCTTGCCGATGGTCCTCGCTGGAGCCTACACGCCAACCACAAGCGGGCAATTCGTGAAGGTCTGATGGATCCTCCACGATGATTTCCCCGGCAGGCGACTCAAATGGTACCACTTCCACACAATCGGACTGAAGAATGTCACACATCAAGTCTGCCTGCATATCATCCCCTAACGCAATATAATTTGAGAGTAGAAGCGGCCCCATTGATCCTGGTGCTGGAAGTTTAATGTAGTACGTAGCTATGGGAGCCCGATTCTCAACCACTTCTGGTGCGGTAAAAACATTTGGTCTGCTAGACAACACCAGACGTCCAAGTGCATCCTCGACCGTTGAGGCCACGTGGAGATATATAGGCTCCTTCACAGTTACCACCGGCTCCGTTGAAAAAGACTTCACTTTACTTGGACTATCTCCCTCATTCCCCTGCTGTACCGTTTCATTTTTTTCGGTGACGTTTGTTGAAGGTGCATCAACGCATACGTTCGTTCCGCCCCCCTCACCTTTCGCCGGCTTCCCTTGTTGCTTTTCGCTATGCTGTTCACTAGTAAGGACCACGGAGGTATCTTTACTGGAATCACGTGTCTTTTTCTTTTTACCATCGGTGGATTTCCTCTTCGCCTCTTTAGGGGTATTAAACGCCACAAGGGAAACATTAAAAGGTGATGGTTCTTCTGCTGGAAGAAGCGTGAAATCGCTCGTATTGTCGTTGTTTGTCTCCATCTCACTTTTTTGACTCGAAAATAGAGCCCTCTGCTGGCGCAGCGTCACCTCTGCCTTCTTGAAAGCCTCATAATTCTCCTTGTAGTAGACTGTGAGCTGTTTGACAAAAACATTAAAAAGATTCATCATCAGACTATGCGCCTCTTTTGGGTTTGCGTTCATGGCGTCTTTCATCGCCTCGCTCATTGTGGCAAGATCTGTGAGGCAACTAACAAGGGTCGCGGAGGCGTTTGCGACGCCCTGACTGATGGCTCTACCCATCGCCTCCACCGGAGACATGTCGGTCGCGTACTGCTCCGCGACGGCTAAAAGCGCCTTCACAACATCCCCAACAGAAACATCCACAGCAGCCACGCTGTTTGAGACCGCCTGCACCCGCCCAACCCACTTGTCCATCGGGCACGGGCAGCGCCAATCAAAAAACAACAACAACAAAACCGTCAAATAAGTGATAATAATAATAATAATAATAATAATGGCGGTGGTGGTGGTATGCACGCAACTGTGAAACTGGAAATCGTAACACAAATAATAACGCTGTTGAATTGGAAAAATCCTTCAAAGCAAAAAGAAAAAAAAAAAAAAAAAGGAAGAAAAGAAAAAAAAAAAACGGCACACTCAAATACGCGCCAAGCAACACACACACACACAAAAAAAAAAAAAAAGGAAGTGCACCGGATTCTGTCACCATTACAGTTGCTCATCTGTGATAACAGCATCCATGCAGCGTCATCATAAGTCCAAACATCGGTCCAAACACTTTTCCGTTGAACCGACGTTATGCATCCCGGGAAGCCGACTCGTACACCATGCAAAAAAAACTATTCATCGCTGCAATGGCGTCTCTACCAGGCGGAAAGACCTCCACACGTCGCATCAGCTCCAGAGCTGCCTGACGCACCAGAGGTGAGGTGTGAAGAAGCTGCGATGCAAGTGGATTCAAACCCCCCAGAGCTAGTGGCATGCGCCGCAACAGAAGGATAACTTCCTTAGATGAGCATAAAAAGCTAAGAAGATGGTTTAGTATTCGTATCAACTCCATCTCATCACAGTTACTAGCTCGGCGTAGAGTGGCAACAGCAATAATTAACGATGGATCCTCACCAGGAAGAAGAAGACGTCCTGGCATACCACTGAAAAGTGAACTTCCTTGTGCAAGCGCCCGAAGCCGAGCCAAACTTGGTGTTAGAAAATTCGTTTGCATAAAACGACTAAGGATGTGGTCAGGCGCCTCACCCACCATGATCATCAACGCAAAGTATTCTTCCAGCATTAAACAAATCATGTGATTCCGTTCTTGTAATGATTTTCGCATAACTTTCATTTGGTAGACTTTACTAAGGATATCCTTGGCAAACTGCGCATCTTGTGTCGCCCAACCGCTTGTCTTTCCACCAACAATCCCGGTGCCGTTACATTGGCTGATGCTATTACACTCGGGAGCCAAAACGACACACTTATTGTCCAAATCACATAGAACATCCCACCAGGTGTGCTGCATCTCAAAGATAGGGTTTAATGTGCCCACAATGTATCCAGGAACACTGCAAAAATGAGAGAGCCCATTCACAGATGTGTAGGGAAACACTTTTTTTGTCACGAAATGAGGGTCCAACAGGTTACCAATGAGACCAAGGGACAACGCGGCCTCACAAACGTCATTAGCAAGTCCTTGTCGGGAGAGAACCACAACACGTTTTTCTAATAATATAACCATAACAACCGTCCAAAAGGATGCGCCGCAAACCTCAACCATTTGTTCCAAACCATATCGCGAAAAAACAAAATCGTACATTTCAGGAAAAAGGGGAATGTGCAAACTGTGCGACGTCCCAAAGGGCAAGACAGCGCATGAGACATTCGCCTGCCTACCACTTGTGGTGAAACGACGCATAACTTCGTGTTCCAAAGAAATTCCTGCTACGTCGCGAATAGAGCGTTTTAAGGCGCATGTCGCCTCCTCAACAGCTTCAAAGCAGCGTCTCACCAGGACCGTCTGCTGCTCCAATGCCTCCTCTGTTTTTCCTTTTATATCGCAGCACTGCAATGCCGTCTCAACAAGAATTGGGAAAAAAGACTCAAGCCATACCAGTTTGGGCCCTAAAAGAGCCACACTCTTACTGATACCACCACGTCTGACGGAGGAATCTTGGCGCGTCACCACTGCACAGAGACCGTAGAGGGGCGGCACATTGGAGGATTCGGTGCGGTGCAAAACCCTACTTGACGAGTTTCCTTTCCCTTCCTCCTCTCTCGTTGTTCCTGCCCCTGGTGGTGGTTGTGGCATCGTTTTCGACTTCATCAACAGCTCCAGTTGTGTCGACTGCGTTAAAAATCCATGATACTTCGAGTCAACATAAATCACAAAGAATGAATATCCCGCAATATTTGCCGGTGACACCAAAGTACTATCTGAAAACGGCGCCGTACCTTTTTCCAAGGAATCTCTTATACCTGCTCCACTCGCGTTCTGTGACGCAAACCCCTTCTCTATTTCTTGGGCAAAGGCAGCAACCCTCCTTGGAAGAGTAGGAAATACTTGAAATGCGTCGGGCGCTCGGGCCATTAAAGGGCCCCACACCACACTGCCTTTGGAGCAAACAAGTACTTCCCCTGTAGTTTGATTGTAATGCAACTCCTCATGTAGAAATGCTTCCCCAGTTGACGTGTGTCGTACCCATTCCGACTGTGCATTCGATTTTAGACAAGTTATTTCCAACTCCTTCGCGCGTGTTGACCCCGCCAACGTGAAACAGTACACGGGAAAGCAATCCACATTCGCAGGCTTGGACCGATTGAGAATAAAAATAGTTCGGCTAACCACTTGCTTCTCGGCACCATCCGGTAACATGTGACCTGCGCAATAGTCGTCATCCAAGCCCAAGACATCAAACCACTTCGTCAATACGTCATTCCCCCCCTCAGCCACACCACACAATGTGTTTCCCTCGACATGTGTGCTCTCTTCCACCCGTGACGTGACAGACGGATACTTCACACGTAAACAGGATCCGGTGTCAATGTCAAACTCAGCCAGAAGCACGTAGTACGCTATGGGCAACTCGGCGGCATTTGTTTCGGTTTCATCCATGATGATTGTTATAAACTTTGTTTCCGCCGCCCCCAATGCGCAGCGTGTTGGCTACAAGCCGGAGTCCACGCACACACACAAAAAAAAAAAAAAAAAAATAAATAAATAAATAAATAAAATAAAAACAATGACAACAACAACAACAACGACAAAAGAAAACAATACAAAATAGGAATCGCAATGGGAGCCAACAGACGCAAAGAAGCATGCGAAGATATTTTTCTTATCCACCCGCCCAATAATAACAACAACAACAACAAAAAAAAAAAACAAGAAAATTATTTTCAATTATACCTTCGGCACTTACAATACCTGTTGAACTTTTACAATCGTTGACAGATTTCTCACGGAGTTCTCGAGCAAAGCCTCTCATGCTGCCACATGGCTTTGGCCATGCGCTCCTCAGTGCGTTCAATTTCCAGGTTAAAATACGCTTCATGATCAGATAGCCAAGCCACCACTGAAAGGATACACATTTCTTCTTTCGTTTCCGAATGATGATGATGATGGTAAGGGGCCATGTTAAATTGCTGGTGAACATGTACTTCAGTATACCCTCTACGGGGACTGCGCCCGCATTCATCGCCCCTTCGTCGAATACGGCAGCCCGATACTCCACTACTTTGTTATATATATGTAAAAAGAAAAAAAAAAAAATAATAACTTTTATAAAATGCAACACCGTGCCGTTGTTTAGAATAACTGAAGGTGCTTCACGTTCCATGATGTGTGTCTCTCCTGTAACAGAAAACAAATAAGATAACGAGAATAGGTGCGGCCCACCCAACGTTTCGGGGACGCTGACAACGTACACGCGCTGCTCTTGCCGTTTCTTCCGCTCCTTTAAAATCTTCATCTGCGCTGAAGGCACGCGATTCGACCGGGGACGCAAATAATTTCCCTCATCACATTTAAAAGCTCACGCATCGTTCGTCAAATCCACCGAATACCGCGCATTTCACCCCTCGCGGGATCGAAAATTGCGTCCCCGGCTCCATCGCAGACACCTGCCCCCGTTAAGAGTTTCACCGTCCCCCCCCTGTCATGGTGTTACTTTACTCTGAAAAGCCCGGGCACCGGCAATTGCAAAACATGTCTTGAAGTCCCTGAGGCTGCGCCGACAGCAAAACACTCCCTGCCAACCGTCGAGTGATGTATTAAAAAACGGCGTTGCGCTCCGAGGCCTCTATTTCGGACACGGCAATGGCACCGTCCGCATCACCGCAGTCCATTCCTTTTTTTTTTTAATTCTACTTTCTCCCCTGCTGTTTCAAAACGTATCAATGACAACTACGGGCCCCATGGACTCTTTGCGTACAACAAAAAAAAAAAAAAAAAAAAAAAGAAGAAAACTAAAAACAAACAGTATTCCCAAAACAAGTAAAATTTTTCATGTCTTCTTCAACCACCACCACCACCACCATCACCATCACTCGCATCCGGCATGAAGTTAACGGAATAATAATAAATAAAAGATGGAATAATATCGTTTCTTTATTATTATTATTATTATTATTATTATTTCCTTTTTTTTTCCCTTGTTTTACAAAAATAAAGACAAATAAGAAAGGAAATAATATAATATAATATATATATATATTAGAAATTCTCTGAATTCGTTCCTCTTATGGAGATGAATTTGCGTTGTTCCCACCCATGATGGTGTTTTGAAACCGAACCATCAGATCCATGACGTCAGGGTCTCCCATGTATTTCTGGAATGCCTGAAATCCATTTTGTCGCACGTCTTCCATAATCGCGCGGAACTTCGGGTTGTTTTTTACCTCCTCCTCCTGAAGTTGTTCAAGGCGCTCACGATTAATATTTCCAAACGGAGTGCGCATTGTACCATCGTCGTTCGTCCCACTTAGGCCCATACTTCCAAGAGATTGAAGGAGCTCTTCCGGATTCGCTGACCCACCTCCAAAGCGTGAGGCCATGTTTGCTACCAGTTGGCTGAATTGTGGATTTTCCAACATTCGTGTGGTGGTCTCAATAAACTGGGGATTGTTCATCATTTGTGCGATCTGAGAGAAATCCGGCACCCCTCCTCCAAAGGGAAAACCGCCCGCCGCAGAACTTCCTGGTGAAGCATTTCCCATAAGTTTGAGTTTTTCCTCCGCTTGTTTCAAGTCCTCTTTGTATCGATCATTCGTAGGATCAAGTTCACTGGCCTTTGCAAAGGCATCGACAGCACGCGCATATTTTTCTTGGTAAAAAAGTGATGTGCCCAAACGGGAGTAAGCCTTTGAGTAATTTGGATTAATGGCAATGGCACGTTCACAATCAATAACTGCACTGTCATAGTCCTTTAAGTGTGTATGCGCAGCAGCACGATTGGCAAAAAAGACGTGATTCTCTGGCTCCATCTCAATAGACTTCGTATAGTACGCAATGGCCTCCTTGTACTTTGCCATGCCCATTAGCTCATTGCCCTTGTTCTTAATCTCTTCTGCGCTCATCCCTTGGTACGGGTTGTTCCGCATCTCAAACTTCTGCTTTGCCTTCTCCAAGCGGCTTGCATACTCTTCCGTCCCGGGCTCTGCCCCTGCGAAGTACCCCTTCTTCTGAATGAGATCGAGAAATGCCTTAAACTTCTCATTCTGCTGTATGTTTTCCTTCGACTCTTGACTCTGAAGCGCCTGGCAAAAGGCCTCAAAAACATCCACTCCGGTGTCATGACATCCGCCCACACCGGCGGGGTTGACGCCATATTCATCTCCAAGCAGTTTGACAATGGTGTTCACGCGTTCCGGGTCGGGTGAATTCACCCCACGAAGCATGCGCATAAAAGAGAAGACAAGCTTCCGATGCTCCTCCGTCAGAGGCTGAGACGTGGTAGAGTGAGCCTCCGCAGTATCACTCATCATTTCTCGGTTCCAAACTTGACTTTTCCACACAACAACAGTTTTTCGCTTTTATTCGACACCCCCCCCCCTCTTCCAGTCAGGCAGAATTATCTTTATTTTTTAGAAAAAAAGAGATAAAAGTAAAACAATTCAGAAAGTCAAAATAATAATAATAAAGGAAATTAACACACAAAAAAAAACAAACAAACGCAATATATACATATATATATATATATATATACCATCTAGATATCCACACCAATCACAGTGCATCTCAAAATGCATAACGACCAGTATTTTAAAGAAAGAAGACACAACTTTATTTTCTACGGCTAATTACACCTACTCTCTCCCCTCTCACTGTCCTCGTTGCGTGCATCCATGGGCCATGGAAGGAGTCCTTTACTTCCTGCCGCCCTTAAGCTTAGCGATGGCCTCCTTCTCGGCCCTCTGCTGTTCACGCATCCTTTGTTTAAAAGCAATGTCCGCCTCGTCGTCATCCAGGCGCTCCTTCTTGGGAGCCTTGAGAGGCTTCTGCTTGCCGCCTTGACGGGAGGACATTGTGAGGGGATGTCTTCGTTGTGGCTGGAGCGGTCGCTTGCGCAGAACCAAAGATGAGAGGAAGAAGACAACAAGAGAAATTGCACACCCACACGCAAATATATTTATTTATATTTATATATGCTCGTTAAGCGCTTTACAGAAACAAACACGCTCGGAAATAATAATATAAAAAAAAATCAATGCATGAATCTATTATTACGGCATAAATCCGACACAATTATGAATATTCGGCTGAGCTGCTGGCCGAATGCTGAAATTATGAATAAAATAAGATGGAAAAAGATAGTGGTATAGTTGGAGACCGCTCGCCAGCTCCCCGATCAATATTCCACACATATACGCACGGACAGCCACCATCGTGAACTGATGCACCATTTATAATCAAAGGCATGCGTTACCGGGGAGTTGGTACACTTTGAGGTCTTCCAACCACAAGACGCCGCGGCGAGGTGGAAAGACAAAAATAGAAAATAAAGAAAAAATTAGTCTCAACGCTATCAGTTACTTGTTTTCTTCGATCGCGGAATTCCTTTGGAATTCATAAGATAGGAAAAGAAGGCATAGAAAAATATCTTCGTTTTATGAGGAAATATTAATTTAGGTAGCCAGCCTTCTCGCGGACATTCCTTTCACACGCTCTCAGAATTGCACAATTACACTAAAATGGAGAACATTACAACAATTTGAAGACGCAAAAAAAAAAAAAAAAAAAAAAAAAAAAAAAACAAACGATGCACTTACATCAAACAACACCCTGAGTCGGGGTGACCCCTTGGTACCAGCAACAGCTTGCCAAACAATGACCGAATGTCAATCCGGTAGTCATTCACGGGAGAGAACACTCCCAGGAAAGGAGCACTCATAGACTGCCCACCCTCAACGGCAACCTTGCTAATAAAGCCTGTCCAGGTTACTGTATCTTCCTCCACCAATTTCCGCTCCGCTCTTGCTTCTTCGCCTGGTGGAATGAGCAATTGCACAGTTTCCTGGGGCATTTCGTTCGGCATGGAATAGGTGACAAGCACCGTCACAGAAATCGTGGTGGTGTTCCTTATGAGGGCGGAGTAAACGTGGCGAGGAGCCCGAATCATTTTGGCAGTTGGAAGAACGGACGATTGAATGTAATGCGAAAACCTAAAATGCCATGCATAGCAGTAAAAAAATGTGCGTGCGTGCATACAAAAAAAGAGAGAACAAGGCACATGACAGAAAAAAGGGAAAAGTGAACTCCACAACAATGAGAGAGGGAAAAAGACACGCACAGCACAGAATCCCCCAACCCTTTCTCCCTTGTTGTGACACGGACGCGGGAAAAGTCAAGAGAGGAGAAAGCATGGAGAACAACAAAAAAACGGAAGCTATTTGCGGCATGACCTCCCCTCAACCAGACGCGTTCATGCATCGCAACTCGACCCCCTCCCCGTCGCCTGCAAGTAATATCGTTCAGCGAGGAACCAATTGCACGCCCTAAAGTAGTTTTGTGCGTATTGCTCCAGTCCCGAAAGACCGTAGTCGAGGGAATAGGCGCCTTCATGCACGTTAATCGCCAGGAGTGGGATGAGATCACTGCCAATGGGGCACGCACCGTGAGGAAACTCCACGACATCAAACTGCTTTCCTGTCCAGACAAGGTAAACCCAACCACAACGCTCTTGGTGCGAGAGAACCACGACCGTTAACAGCCGCTTCACCTCCTCCACCACATCTACCGATCCGTCGCGGCCGTATTGCAACTGAAAAGCCTCGCGAAGTTGTTTTGGTACCGCCG